TGAATCAGCGACAGCTCATTTTTCTGCGATTACGTGAAGAGGAGCTTTTAATGTTTAACCTGATGCAGACCATAAGACCTGCTTTCAGGATAACAGAAGAAAAGTTTTGTCTCAGCTGCAACAGAGGCCAAAATAAGAATTTTCCTATTTGCCATCAGCTTTAAGCTTCAAACCTCCAACACATATACAATAGGTTTTATTAGAACAACACATCACCACGCTGACATGAAGTCGCACCGTAAGATGCAACAACCGCAAGTGCAGCTGAGTCACACCGATGTTAGTGATGAGAGCACATGACCAGCATCCACAATTTCCTGCTCTACAGCACTTGAATCCCAGGTGAGCAAGTAGGGAACACAAACACATGCATCACTGAAAGAACATTCCTGCTGTTTCTATGCAATAAAATTCCACACACCACACAAGACAAGGCAGCCATAAACAGCATCGCTTATAGAAGAGTTTTTCTTTCATAGAACTGCTGTAAGTGATGTTAAAAAGAACACAGAAAAACATGTTGTAACTTCAGGAGAAGTTCATGTGACAGATCAAAACATACTACAAAAAAATACATCAAAATGAACATACTGGTGCAAAAAGCAAATCTACCCTTTCCCCATGATTTCTTTTAGAGATGCTTTTTTTTCTGAGCATAATCTTTAAAAGCAAGAAATGTGAGACATTTTAGTATTTTTTTTTTCCAAAAGATATCCGCAAAAGACTTCAGTGATTACCAAAATTATTCCCAGAGCACATAACCTGTAGTTTGTTTGTGCACTTCTCAAAGATCCAGTATCCCTTGGATCTACTTCCATAGCTGACAGGCTTCTTGTCCTAGTCTTTTCTGTTATTTCTGCAAACTGTAGGGTAAATAAAATAATGCTTCACTAGAAACCACTCATAGGTTGCATTTACCAATCTTTTATTCCACAAGTTCTCACGAAACATTACTTCTTATGCCAAATTCAGACTGACTGCCTGATTCTTTTCCCATTTAAAAATAAATGGGATGAAACCAAGTGATTTTAGAGCCTATTTGCTTTGTTTTCTCAATGAACAGAGCTAACAAACTAGCAATAATAGCAAGAATTCTCAGTCATTTGAAACACAATTCATCTTCTCCAAAGGATACAGCAGCAACTAATGTTCTTTGAAATAATTTTAATCTGTAGTCCTACAACAAGACACATGTAGCATCGCAGTCTCCAAGGAAAGAAGGCCTTGTAGCTGTCAATTAGCCAATTTATTGCATTTTAGGAGATACTCTTTTTCCTTTCAAAAATTTACTTCAAGACCTACACCAAACAGCCCTTATTGGAGAAGAGGAAAAAAAAAAAGAAGTAAGGGAAGAGCAACAAACGGGTCGTGATGCACAAGACCTTGTCACCAGGCTTCAGGAGACTTTGGGCCAGTGGATGGTGCTTCTCAAATTATACATTTTTTGTGAAGCACCTTGAACATGTCCCATCGCAGAGGCTCAAGACTAGTAGAAACATCACATTTTATCTTACCTTTACCTGAAGAATTTGTACTTATTCTACTTCTCTGTGTAGTGCAATAATACCCAGCAAAATAAATGGAAGCAGAAAAGTGCATAGGTAATATTAAGCAAGTATTTTCCCTTCTTGCAAAAAAACCCCTAAGGCTTCT